GTGCTGCTGTACTTCCCGAAGGGTAGGAGGCTGGGACAGGAGATGTCTTCTGTATAAAAGACTCTTCATGTAGGGGATGGTATAAACTGAAGAAAACAACAATGTCCTGTTTATGTATGTGGCTCAGGAATTTTTACTTGGCTGTAGCTGAAATGTCATGACAAGGTTTAGTACAGAAGATACTGCTTCCTGATACTTGCCAGTGTAAAAAAAGACCTTGGGAGCCAGGACTAGAAGATAGGATCTTATTATGGCATCTCAGTCTCTGAGGACCTCACAACTGCTTTTTCCACATTTATGCTCTAACGATGTCTCTGAAACAGGGGATTGCACCTACCCCCCACTTTATTCATCACAAAATCCAGGCACAGAGACTGATACCTAGGTTCTCAAAAAGTCACCCAGAAGGCTATGTCCCACTGATATAAATGAGAAGGAAATGTGAAAAAAGACCCTAAATCTTCACATAAATGAATTGTTGCAGACATAGTGAAAATCCACAGATGGTGGTATCACACAGCCTGTCACTATGGACCCAGTGCTTTATCAAGTGGGCCACTACTGATTTGTAATTGCATTTTAGCAGGACTCTTGAAACTGTAGATATGTTAAAGAATGGTGATCAGAATGAATAATTCTGAGTAGTCCAAGGAGCATGAGAATAACGAACTGCTGCTCATCACTTTCTGAAGGTCACTTTTTTCAGAGGGATTCTGTGAAACCCTTAGGCAACAAGCTTCTAGCAGCCAGCAGCTGACACCTCCAGAAGACTGAGCTCTCAAGGATGCCTTTCTTGTACTAGCTGAGACATATATACAGCTCCATAATATTTGCCTTACCTGAATTGCTGCATTGATACGCTGTCATCTATAGATTTTGTCAACTTTTTATCCTTTCCTTCAGTTACTATCAGCGCTGAGTGTTAGACATTGACTCAACAAGGCAAAACATCTACAGTTTTATGTCCTGATGCACAACTATGGCTTCAAATCATACCAACAACAACTGGAAAGTACCTAACCAAGGGGCATTTCATTAGACACCAGGCTGTGTGCTCAGGAGCTGAATCGTCATCAGCAGCTAGACTCTAGAAGGAGCGAAGGCAGCTTCCCCTCCTATCTGTGACACCTCAGGTGGGACGAATTTGGATCACAAAACTCGGATGAGCATTTGGTCTTTGTGACATACCTGCCACGCACAACCTCTTTCATAACCATGGTATTTAACTACCAGCATAGATGGTCATCCATGCAGACACCAAGAAAAGACATGACCGATGTACTTTCTTTTTCAGGCTGGGAGCGAGGTATTAATTGAGACTCATTATTCTTGATAGATGTTAGCAGAGTTCTTAATCACTCAAGATGACCAGAATACCCATTGCCTGAGTGGAGAAACCACATCCTTCAACAACAATCTGCTTTCTTGCAGATTGCTTTCTTCTACGTTTGCAGAATTATAGTAGGGTAACATGGGGTGAGCATTTGGAGCTTGAAAGAAAGTGCCACACTGCTGTCTGCCATGACTGTCTTCAATTAAGGCAAAAGAAGAGTATGAAGCCCATAATTGTTTTTCCTGGAGTTAAATGGGCCGTGGACAGTAGAGTAGTGACTACGTGGGAGCAGCAAACGGCCACAGGTAGAACAGCTGACTTCACAGATGACAAGTCACAGGCTCTAAGTAAAATCTTGGAGTACGAAGAACAGCCACTGAAGATCCACTCTGGATTTTTCCTGTATGTGGAGCGTATCATACCTGGGCTGCACTCGACTTTTGGGACTGTCATTTGTTAGTGAAAACAGGCAACAAAAGTGCACATATCATTTCTCCGGGAATTACGAAGGAATGAGATCATGAAGCTCTGGTTTGTCCTACCCACTCACAGCAGTTCTGATGTCTCTCTAGCACAAAGGTCAAGGCCAAAAGCTTTTTCTCCACCCACAAAGAGGGACACTAAATTTGCATTTCAAGACAAAATTTAGAACATTTACTCATCACGAGGAAAATAACTGTCTGATTATATGACAGGGATTACAAGTTTAGTATCTTTGCTCTTCCCCTGTGTGTGACGTATAAGGCAGTACTGCATTCTCAAGGGAAAACCAGGAGGGAACTAAAGCTGATTTATCTGTGTCTTATAATCCCAACACTCAGCAATGAGGTTTTAAAAGGCAACACTCCCTGGGAAAGGAGACCAACACACGACTTATCTGTCCTAGCACAGTCTACTACTTCTTTCCTGAATTCTTTGCATATGTGATCCCCGTTCATCAGAAACACCATAAATGATACGGTTCAGCGTGTTCTTTTGCTGCCATATTTTCTGTGCTCTAGGAGGGGATCAGAAATGCTAAACTTTATTTATTGCTCAGTATCAGAAAGGAAAGGATATCCTAGTATTGGACACAATATTCAAAGCCATGCGATTCATGAAATTGAGGGCTTTTTGCAACAGTATGACAAATTCTCTATTTAAACAGATCACTCCCACCACACAGAAGGAGAAATATAACATGCCTTTTGTTCAGAGATTTACCGTGTTTAATTATTCATTTTTTTCAGTAGCTTAACCATGTATTCAGATAAATAAAGTAATAAACAAAAGTGTTCAAAGTGAGGCAATATTGTATTTATGTTATTTTAAAATTGTGATCAGGTATCTGTGGGACATGGAAAACTAAAAATCAAACAAAAGTACATAAACTTTGCTTCTCTAATAAATTTTTAAGCCAAATTCTGCTCTCAGGTAAATTTCTAGAATGCATTTTCTGTAAGGGCATTGCAATACGAGGGCATATCTCTGGGTTTAAGGAGTGCAAAAGATTGGGAGTTGTTCTCACGCCTTACAGGCTCAGCGCACACCAAACGGAGAGCTGGTGTCTGGCTCCAACGCACATCGCCCCGCTGACCTCCTGCAAGCAGATGCAGCGTCACTTGGTTCCAATAAGCTGATTTGATTTCACCAGATTGTAATTTGGCTACATTTGGGTTTTGACTTCAATTTGCCTGCTTCTATGAATGAGAGCACAATTTGGCTCCTTTCCCGGGGAAAAGGAAGCCGACCAAACACGACTTTCACCAGGCCTCAGTTTTTGGCCCCAGATTTCAACATACACTATTACAGCGATCAAAAGAACCATAGAAATTACTTATCATTTTACTGTTCCTTAACACATTTCACACAGTCCTGCAGCGAGCAGAATCACAGATGAACCTCAGAACATACAGAGAGCACAACTACTACACTGGACATGAAAAGGAAATTTTATTAAACATGTTTACATAACATGAGTTGGAAGTTCATTTAAAAGCACAGGGGAGTGTTAAGACAAGTGGTCAAAATAGAAAGATACTATCGAATTATAACTAGTTGGTTTTTGGCCACTAAGACAGAACAGGATCTAGTAATAGTGCACCAATGCTTGAGTTCTTCCTGCTCAGCAGGTCGAGCAGTAACCAATCTGCGCCCTACGGAAAGATGGGCAGAGTAATTCCCACGTGTTGAGTAATAATAAATAGTTCACTTGGTGCAGGCAGTATGTCTATGAGTTAAAACCTAGTGTGTACACAGTTTCTACATGTGTTACAGCCCCACAGTAGGAATCTACACCAAAATAGTTATTAGAAGGAATTTGGTCCGTACTACATCACGTTTTCCATAGGGTAAAAAATAAAGTCCATCTATAGACATTTAGCACCAGACTCACAGACCTAGCCTGGCTAAAACCTGCAAAATGTCTATAAGAAAAATGGATGGCTTAGATTTCTTGGTTACTTCAGTATAGTAATTACGAGCAAACTGTACAAGTACATGCAACATACAAGCTGGCCTATGTGGAACTAACATACATTATTAAATAACCTTTTTCATCTCTTTTTACAAAACGTGCATGCAGCTTTGAACAGTTCCAAGTCATGCTGCTCTATTTTGTGTGATCACAAAATCGAATGGCCTGTAAAAGGAGGGGAAACATATCGATGCACCTGCAGGAATCTGCAGTTGTTTGCACATTTACAGAATATCACAAGGGATTTCAAGGCCAAGAAGAACTCAAATGAATAAAAAGCAAATTGAAATTTGACTTTTTTTTTCTCCAAAAAGTAAGATATCTTGCGTTAAAAAATCAAGCCTTGTGCTTGCATCAATCTCAAAGAAATGTAAACTAAAATTTGATAAAAACATTAGTAAGTGCAGAATATTTCAACTGGAATTTCCAGTGAAACACTGAACAACTCACACCATGCTCTATCCAGGGCAGACAGGTGCGTCTGGAGCGACACACATCAGAGAAGCCTGGGTACAGCTGAAAGTGTCATATGCTTAATCCATTCCTGGTCAACATTTTGGGAAGTCAAATATACATTTATACACAGAAACGTAAATATTTCCTCTCCATTTCTAGGAGGAAAAATGCATTACCAGTAACATATTCAATGTCAAAATTAAGACTAAAGCTGCTTTATACCAGTCCCCAGCAGTAGTTGCAGAATTCTTCAAAATTCTTCCATGCAAAACATCATAAACATAAAAGTTATTCTATATAATGCAAACATATCTGCTTTTTACAAAGAAAAAAGTGGCACTGTGATGAGTATTTATTTTTAAGAATATAACTTAGATTGGTCATTTGTTCTGGGTTCCCACAGGAGAGACTTGGAAGTACCAGAACTGAGAAACGATTTGAACTCGCTGGAATCGTAACTGTGGCTGTTGAACACTTTAACAATGCTCACAGAGATATGTTTCAGCCCTTTTTTGTTTGGTTTCGAAAAAGAAAGGAAGGGTCTCTGTTGGCGATGTGAGGACTTCTACAAAACTAGCAGAATCACATGGCAAAAAACTAGTGGAAGTGACAAGTACAGAAAAACTGCTGAAACACCAGGAAGGTAACACTGCTTGAGGGCTCTGTCAAAATGTGAGAAATACAACATTGTTAACAGAGTGAGAGCTTCCAGTTTGGCTCATCTTTGACTTAGGTCGAATCTAAAGGTCCCTCTCTTTTTTTTTTTTTCCAAATCATTATAAGCATCGGTGATAGCCACTAATAGATTGGCCGTATGTGATATACCTTTGTTCTGTCAGTTTAAGCCATCTCTCAACAAACAACTCAGACATATTTTTGGATAACTACTACAAGCAAAAACAGAAGTGATTGTCTCTCTCCAACAGTGCTTTTTGATCATGTGATATCTGGTTCCAATTGTTATCCGGGGTGATGTTTTTATTAGACAGCACCTGCTACTATGATCTAATGCAGGGAGGCCCGGTTGAACTTTCCAGAGATGACTGGGAAGCCCTGCGTGTCAGGGGAGTCAAGGTTGGATCCACTAGCGATGAAGGTGGAAATAATTTATACCAGCCTATTACCACACTGGACAGATCCAGTTCCTCCAGAAGGATCTGGGCAACTCCCATGAAGCATTTGTGGTCCATTCGGCCGTAGTCTCCCCAAACTATTACCTGGAAGAACATAAAACACAGGTTCAGCATTGTCCTCAAACCCATGCTTACGTGTTCACTCCTGCTGTGTTTCGTTATGCGTAGTGTAAGGAAAATGTTATTCTTAAGGGTGAATGATTGCTCCCTCTTGTGGGAAAACCTAATGGCAGAACAGGAGCAAGAGTCAACAAAAGAGAAATGTTTAATACAGCCAGACATTTTGCAGGTCTGAAAACACAAGCCACAAGGGCGTGTTTGCTGGTATTCATAAAATTAAATGCTTAGTGAGTTGGAATGGGTTTACGCATATTGCTTAAACTTAAGTAAACATGCAAGTGCTTCTCCAAATGATAGCCTAAAAGGGGATTACGAAGGAACTGACCTGAAGGACTTTACCCTGTGGACTTTCATCAAAAACCAGTGTCTGTTGGTACAAAGGATCAAGGGTCTTCCTTGCAATTCTTGTCTTCTTCTTAGCTATACAAGCTCCATTTTCCAATAAATACACTTTGACATATGGAGCTGCAAACAGAACATCATGAATTTTATGTTTGGACTTAAAAACTTCTACATTGCACATCTGAGCTGGAGGACAAATGCCTTAAAAGGAAGCCGAGTGGAAAGAAAATAACGCATGTTATCTTCACTGCATGATCTTAATACAATTGTATTAATAAAATAAATGAAACAGCCCATAAGAAATCAATTTGATTTTTATAAACTTTGAATGCAATGATCTAAGATGTTACTAACAACAATGACGTTTCATGTCTGTCATTTCAAAAACACTTTCTTTTGCCAGGAATTAACTGTCACTGATAGCTACTCTGGAGTCTCTATGTATGTTTAGGGGTCAGAGATATTGCAAAACAAAAGACTTTGATGTCCCATTGAAAGGAGTATTTAAAACTAAGTCACTCCGATAACACAGATGTTAATTGCCCTTTCATCTTCAGCTCCTAAGAAGGTTGTAAAGTACCATTTTCGCAAAATGTTATCTAAAACAGCTGTTCCAGTTGTCACGGTAAGTAGTGGTTGTGGTAGCGGTTACAAATCTCCTCTAATAAAGATCTCTATAAATAACTAGAACTTCAAAAAATGTCCTTTTAAAATGATACAATATTAAATCTCATTCATTATACAAATTACGGACACTGGCACTAGCGTAACCTGCTGTCTTCTTGAAGCACTGTGGTGGACAGAAGATCCTGGCATGTGAGTCTGTTAAGCTGTTTGTTCAAAGCACTTTCATCTGTTCTCCATCTCTTGTTTTGAGGTGGAACAAACACAAAGGACTTCATCTACACTGACAAAGCCCCTCTACGATACGTGACTTGGCCAAGATATGCAGAAATATTTCTGCAAATGTTCCTTCCAGAACGGATGTTGAGTTGCTAAAAATCATTCCTTGAAAGGTGGTATGCAACTGGCCGATGGTAAGAAGTGGACAGTGGTAGCAAGGATATATCCACGCACACATTCCTTGTTGAAAAGCAAATCAAACAAATGCAAATGTAGTGACAGCTAAGGAGGAACTCAAAAGTCTCTGATCCCCAGTTCATCGGTATATTTGATATTCTTGTTTTCTGTTCATATTTTTTTCCTTACCTGGGGTAGATTTGGAGCCAGGTTTTTGTGTGAGGCCACGGGCTCTAATGACTTCTACCTCTAACTGGCCCTTTTTATCCACCATTCCAATCTGGATGTCACCTGAGAGGGAGAAGAAAGAAGCCCACATTTTAGAGAAGCAGTACAGACCGGATAAGATAGGGTATAAGAGTGAGAAACAGAAAAACTAGTTTGCTACTAGTCTGCTGCGTTAGTGTGCTTGTCACCTCTCCTCCTGATCCCTTTAATTTCTCCAATTAAACCAGGACTAAAAGATACATATTTGGGAGCACGGTGCCCTCTCTTGGTGTATGGTTTATACCAGAGCTCAGTATTTCTGATCCATGGAGGCAGGCAAATTTACAGCAACACTATGGTATAAGCACCACACCTTTATTTTTGCGCTGGTGAATTATCTAGAGCCTTCCTACCTAGGACTGTTGCCCCAGTGTGCCAGTCACTGACACGTGCTGCCCGGGCAGTGGTCCCATACTAAAACCCAAACTCATGTTCAGAAATCCCCTCGGCTGGATGTTTTTGCCTCCAAGCTGAGACGCAAGAGCTGGCAGTGTGAAGGCTCCTTGTCTGATGTAGCAGGAAGGAGAACTGCTGGTAGAGGCTAACGTTGAAACCTCCCTCTGTAACTACAATTGTCTGACTGGATCCTCAGCATAAGGTAGAGACACCAACCAGACGAGACACACAGTCGTAGCGCATCTTCAGAGAATGATGCCCTGTCCCACAGGAGATCAAAAGAGGTCTTTCTCTCTGCAAAAGTCTCCAACAACTACAGGGGTGACAATTTTCCTGTTTTTATCTATCTTCCACACCCATTTTTGGTGTAAATAAAATGATGCAACTTGTTAAAATAAGGGGCTGCTTTTGCTACTAAATAGTTAAATTTGTTTCCCTGCCTGACTTCTGACAGATGACATTTCCTGCAGGAAACAGAAACTGCTTAGTCCAAGACCAAGCACTGTTCTGATCTAGATCAATAAAATGCAAGGGAACTCAACTATGGGCTCATGCTCAAAGTGTTAGATCTCGGTGGTTTCATCTGTCATGGAATCCGCTGGGTAGAAATCTAACAGGCCACTTAGAATAACAAATGCATAGTATGACATGGGCAGCTATGTGACACTTGTGCAATGAAATGAACTATACGTATATCCATGAAACACTTGAGTACGGATATATTTGACATGTAAACTCTGATTGTCTAAAAAGCACACCCAAAAATAGACAGTCCTGAACTATAGAAATTGGGGTCTAGATTTAGAAAGACAGCATTTTCACCTGCTTGTCTAGCAGTGTATTAAAGCAGTGTTTCTACCTTGGTACTTGAGGTATGACAGAGCAGCAGGGAAGATTTTTTATCAATCAAACTTTGCTTGAATAAACAGAGCTCTGTGTTGCGCTACAAATAGTTCAGAGGAAAATTCCAACACGGGATTTTAAGAGCACGTCTCTGTATCACATATCCAAAATAAAACATGCGACAGGGAACCAGAAGGGGGAGCGGTAATACAAACATTTTCAAATGGTTGCTAGTGAAAGGGTGCAACATAGAAGGTCGTCTGAAAATTGTTAAAAAGCACAACTGAGTGCTTTTTTGGGGGGCCAAAACCTGAACCTTTAGTAAATAAAGAAGCTCTAAGGAGTAAAAATAAACATATCATGCAAGTAATATGCAGAAAAATATTTAGTTGGAAAACAAGATTAAAAAGACAGAAGAAATCTAGACCCTTATATTCCTACCAATAGAGCGTCTTAGATTTTTATTGGCCAAATTATCTCAGAAATATCTTCTCTTTCAAAATAAAAAAAACGAAACCATGTATCTAATAAGTTTGGTGCTTATCAATGCATTAGAAAAGTAGCAGCTATTTGGAGTTACACAGCAACCCTCACCTCAGGGGATACTTAGGGGGGTAGCATTCTCAAGAAAGTTTCTGTCTCCTCCTACTCATGAGTCGGGAGGGGAACACTCTCTTCTGCAATTTTTCTTTCTGTTTCTCTCTCTCCTTTTTCAGAAGGGGCTCAGTGGCCCTTCCTGAAGCTGATTCTCCCAAGACAGCTGTACTGAAGCATATATAATTTCTGTACTGAAGCCAGTTATACTTTCCAGGAGGAGAAGTATGGTTAGAGTAGTGGATCAAGGACTCCTCACTTAGCATCCTAAAGCATGTCTAAAAATTTCTCATACATAAGCAAAAAAAAAAAAAAAAAAAGAAATCAAACCTTTCCAAAGATACTTCCACAGTACTGTGCTGTTGCACACCTTATATACTGATACTCATAACCAAGATACAGCTAAGGCTACTAAAGGGAAACCCACACTGGTTTGGAATACAGACAAGATCTCTGATAGCCCCAGGCAGCTGCTGTAGAAAAGGATTTTGCCTCTTTCATGACAAACGTTGGCTTTATCAGCAACTGATTATTGGGCACTGCAATGTGGGCAGAGGTTTCAGATTCTGGGACTGGATGAACTAAGCTTGGACAAGTGCAGAGTTTGGCCAGAAACCAACTGTCACATCCAATACAATCTGTGGAGAGTAAATATAAACTCTGAGTGGCTGAGAATTTGCAATGAGCTACAACTGGAGAAGCCACAATAATTTGGAGTGGGAAGAAAAGTGCAACTTCCAATTGTAAATGAGATTAGCAGGCACCTCACATATGGAGCAAATACTCTTTCTCACCCCATTTTGCATGCTAGCGTGCTAGGAATACCAGGGACTGCGTATAGGATCTTCATGTTTACTGTGAAGGAAGCCACCCTGTAAAAGGTGCTGTAGACTGGCAGTGTGCATTAGTTAACTGGTTGATTATTTAACAGAGGAGAACATGCTATTCTTACCCATGGCAGGAGTTGCAAGGGTTTGCCGGCCTACTAACTGTGCAGGTCCAAGTCCATCGAGGAAATCACTAAACTGACTGTCAGCTCCCAGCCGTACTCCAGGAAATATTAAGCTGAAGCAAAATAAAAGCTGGTTAAGCATAAGAACAGGATTAATTTCTATTGTCCTACAGTATTTACCTCAAAAGTAGTACTGATACAGAGCAAGTAGCTCAGAGTGTGCAAGAACAAATTGTTCTGCGGCATCAGGAATGAGCTGTCTCCTGTGGACCTCAAAGAAGTGTAGTGAAATTCTGCACATGGACCCAAAGTAGTCCATAAAACAGTTCTTGCTAAGGAGTTCTCCAGGAGCAGAAAAGAGCCTGACAGGTGAATAAACTGTGAGTGACCTTGTATGAAGAAACATAAAAAGCCTCATGAAATGTAATAGCCTATTATTCTTCATTCTCAAACGCCTGACTTACCTTGTAACACTGTTTTATATTTATACATACATCCAAACCCTATCTGCATCAGTTAGAACAAACAGAGAAAACAGATGTATAAACTACATCTAATTTCTGCAGCTGTTTAATGAAGCAGTAAACTGGCAGGTAGTACTAGTGTTTATTTGAGCTAAACCTAATGCCACTCCTTAGCCAAAATATTCTGTTAGCCACATCTGGATCTACAGTTGGTACCCACCCCCTTTTCAGGACACAAACTGAACTGTAATACATCGACACAGAATGTATGTGCTTTTTTAAGCTGCTTTCTTGTATTCCAAAATCCCAACTTTCTTTTTAATAGATATACAGTCTCCGAACAGTAACAAAACAAACAAATCTAGTTTGATTTCCACATATCAGGCTTATGTCCTCATCATTCAATTCACATTGAAAACTCTTTGCAAACCCCAGTTAGCTTGCTAGAAAAAGCCCAATTCTCTCTTCAAGACTAACTGCTCTTACTATGCCTGCATAAACATACAGACTGCCTGTAACTAAAGCTGGCCAGAAAATATCAGCACAGCGCTTTTCATTAGAAAACTCTGATTTACCAAAAGGCAAACTTTTCACAGAAATTTAGTTTAAAGAAATCTCTTTTTTAAATAAGGTTTCTTTAGTTGGAGGAGGAAAAGAACCTCAAGGTCTCCAGTTCAACCATTAGCCCACCAGTTATAGCATTCACCTAACCTCGAGACGCAGCTTCAAGCCCACCCTTCCTGACAGGACACACAATCTGCTTCTCTCCTCAGTGGCACTACCCATTCACTCTTGTCCCTGCTATGAAATGTTTCTTGCTCATTTCTTTGGCCTTTTTCCCCAAAACCTGTTACATATTGCTATGGAATGACTAGCAACATTGAAAATGTTCACTTGAGAGCCTTCTCACTTTTCAGACATCTCTAGCTATACAGGTAATAATAAAGGCTGTGAAGTGCACGTTCACCTTAATGTGTATTAATTCTAATTCATTAAACTCCAGTTATGGGTCAAGCAGAAGAACATAATGTGGTATCTGGGGTACCTACTGTAGGAATCTGCATTCTCAGCTGAGCTACGCTTCTGATCAGTCTTATAAAATGCAGGATGAGGCATGAGACTGCCAATAAACTATGTAATCCTGGAAGTAAAGTCAGTATCGTAATGTACGCACACACAAGGAAGGAAAAGTAGCCCCTGCAAACTTAACGTAAGCATTTCCTAATTGTCATCATTACCTTCCTACATTAATGTCAAGAGTGAACTGCAGGCAAAATACTGCTCAAGCAACCAAAGTCAAGCTCTTGCTGATTTTGTTGGGAATCTCACAGAAGACAGCAAAAACCTAGCAAACAGCTTCCCTATTCAAGCGTAGGGGAAGTCTGAATACAAAGTGCTACCAAAACCTGATTCATGCTTATGCTAGAAATACCATCTCAAGTTAAAGGTGACACTGCTAATGTTCAAAAAAGGCCCAGAAGAAGGAGGTAGAGAGGGAGAGGATTTTAGGAACAGCTGGCACAGCGCATGTACTCCCGATTATGTGATGCAGTTGTGCGGCTGGCCCTCCACCTTGCAGTTGTGTCCAACTCATGTTCTAGAAATAAGCCAGTGAGGCATGTGGGGGAAGTGATTAAACACTAGAAAAATTGATTTATTGGTCATCTTTCTTAAAAGAATCTCTGCATTTAACATTCTTCATTCACTGTGATCTAACCCCAGAGCTGCTGTGAACTAACATTATTCTATCAAACTCAAGCAACTTTGCAGAGCATCTGAGGATTTGATCTATACCTAAATCACAGAATCATAGAAGAACAGAAGACTTCAGAGACAGTTTCTAACCCACAAAGTATAGCACCACACTGAACAGAGCCCTCTGGTATCCCTTTTACCAATGGCATTGTGTCCTGTTTAAAGAATATTTCTCTGCCTTCATTGCAGCAAGATGCCCATGCGAACCAAATGAAGTTCAACAAGGCCAAGTGCAAGGTCCTGCACATAGGTCAAGACAATCTCAAGCACAAATACAGGCTGGGCGGAGAAAGGATTGAAAGCAGCCCTGAGAAGGACTTGGGGGTGTTCATGGACAAGAAGCTCAAAATGAGCTGGCAATGTGCACCTGTAGCCCCGAAAGCCAAACGTCTCCTGGGCTGCATCAAAAGAAGTGTGACCGGCAGGTCGATGGAGGTGATTCTCCCCCTCTACTCCGCTCTCATGAGACCCCACCTGGAGTACTGCATCCAACTCTGGGGACCCCAGAAAAAGAGAGACACGGAGCTGTTGGAGCAAGTCCGGAGGAGGGCCACGAAGATGATCAGAAGGCTGGAGCACCTCTCCTGTGAAGACAGGCTGAGAGACTTGGGGTTGTTCAGCCTGGAGAAGAGAAGGTTGCAGGGAGACCTACTTGTGGCCTTCCAGTACCTAAAGGAGGCCTGCAGGAAAGCTGAAGAGGGACTGTTTATCAGGGAGTGTAGTGATAGGACAAGGGGTAATGGGTTTAAACTAAAAGAGGGTAGATTTAGATTAGATATTAGGAAGTAATTCTTCACGATGAGGGTGGAGTGACACTGGAACTGGTTGCCCAGAGGAGTTGTGGATGCCCCATGCCTGGAAGTGTCCAAGGCCAGGTGGGATGGGGCTTTGGGCAACCTGGTCTAGTGGAGGGTGTCCCTAGGGGTGTCCCCTAGGGTGGAACTAGATGAGCTCTAAGGTCCCTTCCAACCCAAACCATTCTATGATTCTATGATTCTATGATTTAACTGTTTCACCTGAGTATTGTTACCTGCCTCCTTTGGCCCATTCTCCTGGGCTTCCTTTCAGAGTCTCTGTTAGATATTGATGGTGTTCTCACTTCACTGACATTGTTTCTTTAGTCTTGCCAGGGATTGGAATAGGGATGTGGAGATCTGGGACATTGTTTAAGGCTAAGGTCAAGTGTGAAGTGGGTTTGGAGTCAGGAAATGAAGTTGAGGTATATTGAGGATCACAAATCAACCAGAAGAGCTGGTTATTCTATCAAACCAAAAGTCTGGGACAGCAACATAGTGAAAAGTTAGGGAGCTGGTGCCAAAAGCATGGATCAGAAAAGCAGGACAAACGCAGTCAGATGTGAAGAAATCTATTGTATGAGAGAGCTGAGAGAGGTAAGGAGACTTGTCAGAGGCAGAGCTGGTGCTGGGGCAGCAAGAGATGGGGAGCAGACACAGGCACTAAGGAGGCAGAAACAAGACATAAGATGCAGATAGCATGACTACCAGTTTATGATAGCTCACTTTGCCTTGAAGACTGACCTACTTCTAAAGGATAATTTTCAAACTAAGTCCCAATCTACAGACCCAGCCTGGTATACATCCCAATAAGAAGCAAGCACCCTGTTTACTTCCCAGGCTTATTCTCTTCACTGCTTTGCTCAGAAGCTGGTTCTCAAGTCAACAGTTTAAGCCTCTACCTGCAGTTTCTCTCCTCCAGATGCCTGCTGTGACCTCCAGATCCAGAACCTGGCCACCCCAGCCTTGCCAAATCTGTTTACACACTCTGAAGGTGGAGCAAAAAGACTAGGCTGTTCCCCTGAAAAGGTCCTCACTGTCAGTGCTGGGTTCCCACCTCTCCTGTGTTGCTAACCAGGAAAACAGGCTCCCCCAGCTCCTCCTTTGCAGGGTCCAGTTTATTGGGCCCTTTGTCACCATGGTGAGTGACTGGTCCCTTACTGGCTGACCCTCCAGCCTAGAGAGAGGATCGAGGATGGCAGGATGAAGTGCTGAAGGGTAAAGGTAATGCCCTATCATAGGATCACACTGGAAAAAATACTGGGGTGTTTTACTTTTGTCCCTTGCTCTTAACTACTTGCTTAACTACTTTGGTTTTGAGTTATTCATGATGAAGCCTTTTTTCTTACATGCCTCCTGCAATTTTTAGTATAATCATAGAATCATAAAATGGTTTGAGTTGGAAGCGACCTTAGACATCATCTAGTTCCAACCCCCCTGCCATGGGCAGGGACATCCTCCACTAGACCAGGTTGCCCAAAGCCCCATCTAACCCGGCCTTGAATGCCTCCAGGGAGAGGGCATCCGCCACTTCTCTGGGCAACCTGTTCCAGTGTCTCACCATCCTCACTGTAAAAAAAATGAGAGTGGTGGGATCATCTGTTCATGGAGAAATTCTACCTTTACACAGCTCCTTGACATCACCATGGCTACCCTGGTTCTTCATGCCTCATATAATGTACATTAGCAATTGTGGTAACACGGTAAGCATATAAAAAGATGAAGCCATAGAAGTCCCAATCTCTCATTTTTTTTCTGGTCTATAAGGTGGATTTGCCTACCCCCAGTTTCCACTTTTGTGGGGAGGTATCTTATTAGAATTCCCTAGTGAGCACTGTGCCCTGGCACACGAGGTCAAGTCCCACTGAGAGCTGAGAGGGGGCTGGAGTATTCATGCACACTTTTGTGTCGAATCTGCCTTTGTTTTCCTTTCCAACCTACTGAGTCATTGAGCAGTGAATGAAAACAGCTGCCGCATTCCCCACAGTTGTCTGCGGATTTCAGCTGATGGGGAAGCTGCACTCTGGGTTTACAGTTCTCAATAAGATACTTGGACCAACTCCAACCTAAACTTTCTTTGTATACAATATTACTGAACTGAGTTTCATATCACAAGGATTTACATACAACATCGGAAGTTGAACTCTGACTTAATCCAAACATAAAGAAAAAGTACACCTATGTTTTGTTTTGAATAATGTGCTCTGAATTTAGTTGTCTTTTGATGATCAAAATGCCTCACTGGATGACAGGGAAAATGTGAATCCCTAGGAGGTCCTCTCTCAATTTTAATTTTCAAGAAATTTGTGTTATGTGCCTAAAATTGTTCAGTTTTGCAAACATTTCAAGAAGAAGAATCTGTACACAGAGCCATCCCCTTCAGCCAGAGCTGGAACGTCTGTTCACATCCCAAGTTTTCTTACAAAGACAAGAAACTTCTCTTATATTACTGATGTTTTTAATGCCACTTACTTGCCCTCGGAGCTATAACTATTTATGCTGCCGTCAGTGGATTCCCGGCTTGGCTGTCGAACCATACGACTTCTCATCTCTGCTGCCATTCCTGTCTCTGTGCTTCTCTGTATCGTGCTCTTCAGCTTCTTGTTGCCAGCCTCTGAAAACAGAGAAAAAGAAGCAATAGTTAGAACGACAACTTAGGGCAAAGCCTTTCCTTGTACTTTTCCCTCAACAACAGTGATCTGACTCGACCATTACTATTTAATAATGCAAGAAGACTATTCCAATCGAAGAAGGAATCTCTCTTCTTCAGTTGCAAACTGGCGGCGGCTTCTCTTTAAAAGGGCTGCAGCCTGAAGATCTTTGTTAAGGCAAAGTGTTAGGAATTAGGTGTCTTATTAATAACCTTTACACAGTTGGAATGTGGACAGAATGACTGTGATGATAGTGTCTGCTAACCATATACTTGGTAAGGTGTCTGTCTCTAGTCACCTTGTTTGTTAGATTGAGTGACTACAAAAGAAGTTACAGCTCTCTCAGGAAAAAAGAGGGTAAAAAACCCCTTCATGATTCAACAGAAAAATATTAAGTACTAAAATACTTAATATCAAAAATACAATATGTGTTTTGACCCAGAAAAATCTTATTTTTTACCACAGAAATTCTTTAAAGTAAACAATGAGCTTTACATAACTTCTGATCTCATCACTTCCTAAGTAGAATTAACTCTTTGGAGATTCCATGTGGAAGATGATGGACTTCCAGAGTCTAGGCTTGCAACTGAACACTAGAGAGTAATGTAAATCATGTGAAATTGTTTAAAGACTTCATCCATTTGGAAAAGCTTCCATTACATATTCTTTAAAATGCAATTCGAGTTCCACCTGGAAGGTTTCATGTTACCCTTGAGCAAGGAGAGCTTCCAGTCCTTTACAGGGGCTCAAAGTGCAACAGCCAATCTACAATGAATTCTGCTGTCAAGTGGCAGAAATTACGCTTCTAAAGACGATACTCGTTCTCAAAGACCTTTAATTGAAATACTTCCACCAAAGTCTCTGGGTGATGTAATAGTGCGTGTTGACTTCAAACTCAGTGTCCTGTTTGTTTTCATTTAGTTCAGCCTGTCATTCAATTGGTAACATTACTTTCTCTTGGGAAGTAGTAGATGTGATGAAGTTTCACATAAGTGCATGCAAAAAACATTCTCCTGCATTCACCTCTTCATTTCAGTGCCCTTTCATTTGCTGCCTGTGAAGTCTCTGCTTCCTTTTCACAGCCTCCTCAGGGGAGCATCTGAAAAAATAAATGTTTCTTCCACCTCCACCTGCTGTGGAGGCTGAATTGCTCTGAAAAAAATTTTCACTTTCCTGTTTCACACGGACATCATTGATGTTTGACGCTGACAGACCTTGATCTTTCCTTGCATGAAAGTTATGGCTTGGGTAGCCCTCGCACAGCCTGCCCATTGCTCAGGGTGATTAGACGTGCTGTGGAGAATAGCTGGCCCTTGCTCTTTGCGTCTGCAGAGCTGGTGGAGGGCAGGGAGAAATCACACAGGAGAGCAGCTCCCCCTCCCCCTGAGTCATCACAGTAACCGCTTTGGAGTTAGCAGACAGACAGCAAACATGGCCAAAGCGAAAAAGAAATAATTCGTATATTGGGCTAGGAAGACATAGCACCACAGCAAAAGGGGCTGTAGTTTTCCTCTTAAGCCTCCTGGGCCTGGGGTTGTTTATCTATGGCCACCCATGAGCAGAGCCTCCAAGTGGAAGAAACCAGCTACTTCCACAGATCCTTCACTCCATTCTGAGGCCAACAGCTCTGAGGTTTTGCTGTGGGCCACTGCAACTCATGCAAATTCCCGGTCCTTGGTCAGCTGAAAAAGCATTATTCAGTGCCGCTAAACGTGAGGCAGTCTAGGCTAGATGAGGTACACCAGGCAGACCAGGCTCCACTCTTAGACAGTGCAGGTGGCTGTGGAAGGTATTTGCTGGAACCTCAGTGGCTCTGTGTGTAGAAAATCCAATGCTGCATTTTGGACCTGACCTTTATCTTTAAAAATAGATGGCGTGTCCAGCATATCAATGCTGACCATCAAAAATGAATCAAAAGGCAGCCCAGGAAGTATCACCCACATGCAGAGCCCTACACCAAAGCAGGATTCTCACATTTTTAGTAGCTATGTATGTGCCACCCCTGTTGTTTTGTGCTTCTCTCTCTTGCTGGGACCTGTTTGAAAGGGCCTCTGTTTCCATCTGCTCCCACAAAGCGAGTGAGATGATGTGGTATACCTCCTGCCTTCTTTTGTGGAGCCAGCCAGATCAGGCAGCATGACTGAAAGGACATAATATGGTAGAGGCTGAAATGTGGGCAGCTGAATGGGGTTGCCTGTGAGTATTCACGGCTCAGGAAATGGGACTGATGAGGCACTAAAGGTAGCCACAAGATCATCGTGACCTTGGCACAAATGGAGGAAAGAGGTGCTGCTCTGGACCACCTGGGCAACACAGTGGGTGCTGAAACTGAGGGATTACAGCCAGGTGTTGGGAAAAAATTATGAAGAATATATTCGTAGAAATCATCACTGTAACAAATATCCATTGACTCAATTACAAAAAATGTATATTTTAGCTTTGAGCCACAGTAGAGATTGAAAATAGCAAGTGTTTTGTTTTGAAAGTGTAATTTTATATTACCATGGATAACATCCATGTTGCTGATTGAACACACGTCTTTGCTCCACAGATTTTAAATGCACAGACCAAGAAGTAGGAATCCTCGTGCATGGCCACAGGCAAGTCCACAACCTTGTCTCACTGTGCTGCAAATACCAGACTGCCTTTTTTCTGAATGCTTTTGAGTCACTGCTCTCTGTCTGTGCTGGATTCCACTTCTTTTTTTTTTCATCAACTTTTTTTTTCAGGTTGAAGATTAAAAAAAAAATTGTTTTGCCTCCTCTTGTAACTGCTACTAATATCCACAATGTTTCCTCAGAAAACTAGAGTCTTCCTGCATATTTCATTTTATAACCTTAGTCTTAATATTCTGCGGTACAATCAGAAATATAACATAAAAGTAACCCAAGACAGAATGGTAAAATACATCAAGAGTTTTATGGCATAAACGGAATTGCTTTTGCCCGTGACTAAGAACTGAAACACAGCTGCACAGGTTTTGGAAGTTTTAACCTTGGTCAGTTATGCATATTGTATTTTTTTTTGTCCACTTATAACACAAAAAGTAATGAGAACAGTTTATTTTGTTGGTGTACACCTGTAAACTTCTCAGCAAAACCTAGCTCTGGACGGGAGGGAGGTGGTTAGCATGCAGCTGAGTTGGGAAGTGCTGCTGTTTCTAAAGGCGCCCAGTAATGTGAAGTCACTCTGGGATACAGCTTCCAGTCCTGCCTTGACTGCACCATGAAATACAAGATCCCAACAACTACGAGGGTTTCTCTTGCTCTTGATAATGTTGGGTTTTTTTAAACTTTCATTTTCATTTGTATTACTTTTAGTCTACCAGTTCTGCATATATCTTTGGAATGCTGTCTTTATACAAACAGTACACGTTCATAAAATATTTAAGTTCAATATCTATGCTATAATATACTGAGAAGATTTTCTACTCTTGTCTGGATATCTATTGGAGAATGCTTGGTCCTGCTCCTGATTTTTATTAGTTTGCTATGTACAATTAAATTTTATAATATGTCACACTTATTTGCCTGCACTGTGTAAATCACAGTATATTCATTGTGCAGACTGAAGATAAACTGTCTCTATACTGAATACCATTTAGGGGCAAAATTTATTCCAAAATGGTCTGTATGCTTCTGTCAGCTGCGTCAACTGTGTAAGGCTTTCTGCGTGCAGAAATGCAGATTGATGTGCATAAATTGCATCTAAACACAGAGTTTAACAGGTACAAGCTAGAGAAAAACTATTACAGAGCAACTGTGATGAACATTTTTGCAGATTTAATAACTGATGCAAAAGGATCATAAAGCAGCCATCTGCAGCTACAAAAGATACACAGCTTGTAAGCGTTTTGCAATTCATCAACAGCCTTGCTGTAGCACCCCTGCTACGACACACTGATGAGTGTGTGCAATGTGCTATTTCAGTCTACCTATTATAAACATAGCCTATAGTGATTCCTTTTTGGTCCAACAAGAAACCAGCCCCTGATTTTGGTTTCCTCAGACAAAAGCGAATTAATGGATCCTGGTCTAAGTAATGATGAAGAGCAAAAGGGAAGCTTCTCAGTGTATGCGCTTTCTTACATTTGCGCAGAATATCAGTGCAATTGATGTGTCCCCAATTTCTGTACTTCTTGATCATCTCCAAGTATAGCAGCCAGGAGCAAAAGACTATTGACAACAGAATTGTATTAGCGAGGACAAAGGGTCAACGATAATATCTATAGAATTAAGGTGTCTACTAGAGACACCTCAAGGCTAGCTTTAGATTGCTAAAGGCGTCCAATTCAGAGAGGACAATACCATGACAAAGGGCCCAAAATGACTTGTATCCATGATGACCCGTGGCAAAGGTATGACTGCACACAGCATCACCATTGGCCTGGCTTCCCTCTGGGCTCCATGTGGTGCCCAGAGACAGAACTACTACATTTTGCTCTTGTTTCAGTACAGTAAGTCTGAAATAACAGGAGGGGCTGTGCCGCGGCCTGCGGGAGCAATGCTTTTATCCTGTGATGCCAAGGTGTGTATGACGTGCCATGGGACAAGGCTAGGGGACATATGGGAATATGCAAGGACACAAGCTTGGTGACTTAGGCAAGAGGGCAGTGTTAGAGACCTCTCTAGGGCAGCAGACAACAACTCTGACATGGTCTTCTGCCTCAAGGAGAGGTGCCTTGAGTGAGCATTGCCCAGAATCATACCTGAGGGCAACTTGTTAGCACCAGGAAAAAAAAAAAAAAAGCAAATTTACACATGTGCAGCACCTGGGTAAGTGGCATGGAAAATTTGTGACTGGTTCAAAAGAACACTCCAGAGAATAAAGCATACACCACTGCTAAACCCACTAATGACAGGGACAATAAGAAGGGTCCTAATACTCAGTGTTGTCACATGACTCAAGGGCAAATTATTCATGGTCTCAAGCATGCTCATGCATCCAAAGAAAGCCTA